CCAGTCCATCACAGAGACATAGTCACTAAAGGGATGAGTTTGAGTTTCAAACGTTCAGACAGTCTTGCATGTGTCTCTGTGAGCAGGTCAGCAGATTGAAGCCTCTCCACCTCTGGCATGGTGACCGGGGGTGGAGCAGTGAGTTCACAGAGACGTGTTCTCAGAAGATGATGAAGTAAAATCCTCGTGGTTGGACAGTCTGTGCTGGAGGAAGGCTTCTCCTCACCTGGCCGAGCGGCAGCAGCTTCTGGGCGTGTAGCGCCTCGAGCTCCTGCAGCCTCACGGCCAGTAGGAGGTGGGACAGAGCGTCCAGCAGGAGGCCGTGTTTCTCCTCCCTGTCAGCGCACGAGGAGGCCACGAGTCTGCAAAGTAAAACGGTCAAATTCAGTTAGGAGGGAGGGAGAAGGTGGAGACACGAATAAAGTCAGTGAGAACATCCAGGAGACGGTCACAAGTTGTAGACATTCATCTGCTGACATGTTCTGTTCCTGTGAGAACAACAGTTTCAGGCGGACACATTCTATTTCAAAAGGCTCCGCCCTTTAAGGGCTGTCGTTAGTGGGTCCATCCCACACGCAGCGCGCCAAGACCGAAACCCTCCAGTCCACGTCCAGCTGCTGTGTGGGCTCCACCCTCGGGCCGTAGAATTGGCCTCAGGACCAGAGACCAGCTCCTGGTTTTCTTCAGCCAGCGACACAACACAAGAAAAGTGAGACCAGAAGAAGACGTTAGAGGACGGGATATACCCAGACCTGCACAGTCTGAGGATCTGCCTCGGAGCAGAACACGCAGGCAGGCTCTTGTTTTTATCTTTCAGAGCTAGGACGTTTCCACCTTCAACTAGGAGTTGGCATCACGATCATCATCAACAATCAAAGGTCTGAGGCCAGATGGACCTCTTGCTACTCACAGAAACAACCTGAGGACACCAAGGACAAAATGGTTCAGAAAAAGGTTTGTAGGCTCAATCATCCAGGTAGATAACAAAACAAGGTGAAATCATCTCATCTGGACCAGTCTCTTTAAGGGAGAAACGTTTCGTCTTCCATCCACAGACTGATGAAGTCCTCTGGATGGAAGACGAAACGTTCTAGGCTCAATCATCCAGGTAGATAAC